CGGCTTAAAAATTTTGAAAATGTCAAAACTACCAGTAGAAAGGTGCTAAAATAAAGATCTGTAAAAGAAAAGAATATTTCTTGAAGAATAAAATAAGAAAGGAGAAAAGGAAGATAAGAGATTTTAGAGAGAAAAGAAAGCAATAATGTTGGTCATCCTCTTCACTATTATTTGTAGTTTAAAATAATAAAGAGTACAAAGACCAATATGCCCTTATAGGGCGGATAACACATAAAACAATTAAAATAACTATTCAAAAAGGACCCAACAAGAATGTTATGGTCCCCACTTCATATCTAAACAATAAATAATCAAAAACTACCACTATAGACTACACAATTTGTCTAAAACCTCAACACTCCCCCCTCAAGTTAGGAGTAAACGTCACACATTCCCAACTTGCGTAGATTATATTCAAGATTCTTCTTTGCAATCCCTTAGGTGAAGACATCAATCAATTGTAGTTCAAAATAGACATAATGCAAGCAAACTTCTCCAGTTGTCACCCTTTCTCTTATGAAGTGCCTATCAACTTCGATGTGTTTAATCCTATCATGCTAAATTGGATTGTGGGTAATATTGATTGCAGCTTAGTTGTCACAGTATAACATCATGGGCTCCTTAGCTTTTATTCCAATCTCAATTAGTAGAGGTCTCAACCAAAGTAGTTTTGAAACACCATGAGCCTAAGATCTATATTCGGCCTCTATACTTGATTTAGCCACAACTAACTGTTTTTCACTATTGAGACCAAGTTCCTCCCACAAAGGTGCATACCCCTGATGAAGATATATTGTCATCTAAGCAATCTGTTCAATCTGCATCTGTGTAGAACTCTAGCTTTAAATTTTCATGGTTTGAGAAAATAATCCATCTACCAGGATACTTCTTCAGGTATGCAAGTATCCTCTCAATGGCTTCCCAGTACTAAACCTAAGGAGCATGCATATATTGACTCACAATACTAACACCATAGGAGATGTCTGGACGTGTCATACATAAATATAGTAGTTGGCCTACCATCCTCTGATATCTTCCTACATCCTTAACTAACTCACCATCAAAAACATTAATTTTATGGTTTGGATCAATAATTCCATACCAAAAAATATCATTACTACCTCCAACACCCAGGTCCATGTTACCAATGGACTTCTAATCGGTACTCCAACTCTCCATTTTACTTCAAACAATTTAAAAAGTATAAAATAATTAGGTAGAGAGACTCCAATATCAAATCAATCTCACATACAAAGGTAACAAACATTTACAGAAGAAGAAAACCCTATCCGGAGAGAAATCTCTTTCCTCTCGCTGTCTTCCACCAGAGAGAGAAGTGAATCGGCTACTCCAGAAGGCCTAGGAAACTCCAAAAACCTAACCACCCCCATAGAATACCTAGAAAAGTCCAATAGCACCTGAGCGCCCAAGATCAAATCAAAATTGAAGAGTCAAACTTGACTAGGACTCTTCCTCGCACTCCAGTTCTTCATGATTTTGATGACAAAACACAGATCACCCTCTATTGACTAGATCACACCAAAAAATCTAAGAATTGGGCAACTTGAAGTAAGTCGATCAACCCTTTATCTCCTCATGCAATTGACTGATCTAGGACTGCATAAAAAAAAGCTTCAAGAAACCCTAGCTGCGCTATGATACCAAATAGAAAGGTGCTAAAATAATGATCTTAAAAGAAAATAATATTTGTTGAAGAAGAAGAGGAGAAAGAAGAAAATAAAGAGAAGGGATTTGAGATAGAAAAGAGAGCAATAATGTTAGTCGCCCTCTTCACTATTATTTATAGTATAAAATAATAAAGAGTACAAAGACCATTATGCCTTTATAGGGCAGCTAACACATAAAACAACATAAAACAATTAACATAACTGTTTGAAAAGGACCCAACAAGAGTGTTGTGGTCCCCACCTCCTATCTAAATAATAAATAAAAAAAAAACTATCACTATAGACTACACAATTTATCTAAACCCTCAACACTACCCTTTGGAAGAAGACATTGTTCATTGTTTTCTACCTTGAGACTAAACCAGAATAAACACTCTATCAAATTGAACTAAAGGCAAATTCGGATTTGAAGCTTTAAATCCGAATTTGACACATGGAAGGGATTTTGTCACAGGGTATTTTCGAACATGATATGAGCCATATGTTCGTTATTGTTTTACTTGAGTGCTATGTCTTTTACATTAACCAAGGGAAACATCATGAGAAAATGATTATTGCATGAAAAAAGATGGAAGAAGACCAGGATACAATAAATACTTTAAAATTGTAGTTGGATGAATTTTGTTTAAGTTAGTTTATGTAGGAGTGGTAGATAAAGAAAATTAAATGACACTTGTAAGTTATTCTTGTCATTTCACATGCCACTTAATGTTGGTTGATGATTTTGGACTAAACTAATAGTTTATGGGAGTTTAGGTAATGCAATAACATGTTTTGAAGTTCGGACTACGCCTACAGTATAGGGTACTATTATGGAATTTTCCCTATAATATATTTTAGATATTCTATATAATATATATACTATAAATATGAAGTTCACTTAATTCGATTCTTTTTGGTTTTAACCGAAATTGAAACTAAAATTTTGTAAAGGGTCATTTACTAGAACACCCCCAATAGTTTCACAGATTTACTTAAATCTACCCTATAGTTTGTATTTTACTAAAACACCTCTTATAGTTTGCAACCTATTTACTTAATCGACGTTTCATTAAGAACTATTTGTTTGTCATATGAAAATAGTAATTTGATCATCTAAACTAAGTCAGAAATGTTTAAGGACATAGACTCATAGTTGTTTATTCCAAAAGTACACCTAAACCGAGTGGAAAATGTTAAAGGGTATGGATCTATGAATCTATGACAATTTATTCCAAAAGTACCTCTAACACTTTTTTTTTTATATAGGAAACAAAATTGACCAAAATAGAGAAAATATAGTGGTTGTAYGTGTTCTATTAGGAATAAAAATGACATTTTGTTTTTAGTTTTTTAATTAAATTTATTTGAATGGGTGTTAGTCAAGGTTTAAAATTTTGATACGATACGCCCGATATGGGGCGTATTGTATCGTATCTTTTAAAAACCGATACAGGATACACATGGAAATTGGACGTCTCGTCTTTTTTCATGCGTATCGAGGGCATATCGTGGGTGTATCGGGGCATATCGGTAATGTATCGACGAAAAAGATACGACCAAAAACTTAAAAAAATTAAAGGGGGAAAGCAAGCTTCTTTTCCGCGAAATAAGCCTTCTTTCACCCCTAAATGACTCTAAAATTCCAAACTTCATTCCTAGAGTGCTAAATTTACAAAATTTTGCAAGAAACAAGTGTGAATCGTTATTTTTTTTAAAGATTTTTCAAAATTTGAAAAATATGGAAAAAATAGGTAAATTTTTCAATCTTTTATAATATCTTGTGATTTTTTTCTTGAATGTTTAAATTTAGGTTGATCTACATTTCTTACATTCAAAATCACAATTTTTTTTGTGCTATTGGTAAATTTATGAAAATTTCATGAAGATATTTGGGGAAAATATAAATTAACAAAAAAACTGAAAATGTAAGTTTTTTCTTTGCCTATAAAGACTAAATATGTTTTAGATCTATGGATTTATCTATCATATCCATAAATTGAAATTTCTTCTTTAATATATATATTTTTTATTTTTTATATTTTTAGAATTTAAAAAATAAATAATATTTAATTATATTTTATCATTTAATAATAACAATTGAAGATATTATAATTCTACGGATGATCTATCATATCCATAGACCAATTGAAATTTCTTATTTTAATAATTATTTTTTATATTTTGAGAATTTAAAAAATAAATATTATTTAATTATATTTTATCATTTAATCATAACAATTGAAGATATTATAATTCTACGGATGATCTATCATATCCATAGACCAATTGGAATTTATTCTTTAATAACTATTTTTTGAATATATTATATAATGTTTATTTATTTTTTCTAATTTTTAAAAATAAATAATAAATAATAATTATTTAAATAATAAATCATTATTAATTATATTTTCACATAGAAGTTGTGCCAATGCATGTTTTATGGTTGGGTAGGAGAGTTGGGTTTTTCTCATCCCATAAAACATTAAAACTTAAGAATTATAATTTATAAATTATAGTTAAGCATAGGATTTTTAATGAAGTTATAATTAGATATAATATATTTTTTCATAAAACCATTAAAATATTTTAATTTAATGTATATACACCTCATTGGGATCTTATATTTAGTATTCTTGATGTATTTTTATGATTTATTAAATTATTTATAGTGTTTTCAAGCATATTTATGCGTATCTTAGTTTTTCTTTGATGCACGTACTTATTCAAAATGTATCCCGATAGTTATCTTAAAATTGCTTTTCCCATACACTTGACGTTTCGGATAATTTGAACCTTGTGTTGGTGTTAAAACTTAAAACTGTCATTTTCCACATTAATCTAATGAAAAGGCCGATTAGATAAATTAATTGCAAATTATAAAAGATGTTTTAACCGAGTTGGTTGATCCCATAACGTGTTCTGGCCGCTTCTTTGTGGTGCACGGCTTTGTGGAAGAAAGAAATGGCGGAGACGGTAGAGGATGAGAGAGAGACATTTGAGAGAAGAAAAAACTAAACCACGCCGGCAACGCTATCTGCTTGGGGAAATGCTTGGAAGAAGTGGCAAAACCGCCCGCTTGCTGTTTAAACTTGTTACATCAAATAGGTGCGCTTCGCTGGTACTTCGCTTTCGCTGTTTATTTTCTTTATTACTTTGCCCTTTGCCTTCACCAAGCAGGTAAGCTATATTTGTTACTTTACATTATAGAGAGAGGACTTTTTTTTTTTTTTTTTGGCAATGAAAATAGAGAGAGGATTTGAGTGGATGGAAATCTCTAATAGATAAGATTGATAATAAAAGGACAACACCAACTACATTATGCCGAAACTTTTACTTTAGAGTTTGGAAAGGATATTGGGAATTGAATCTGGGGAAAGTGTCGAGGTCAGAATTTAATGGGATGGCTTACACTAGCTCCGAGTTTAATGTGCCTGAATTTTTTGTTTACAATCCAAATCCTTATGCTGGCGGTTATGATATCACTCAAACCTATGGAAAATCCTTTCCACCTTCGGAGGCGATTTGTTATCCTCGATCGAGTTCCGGTTCTATCTCCCCACCGAGCGATGAAAAGGTCGAATACACGGTGGAGCCACATAAAGGGAGCGGTAGACGTAGACCAAAGGGGACTTCGGAGGAAGAGCAGCTGCATTACGGTGACAATGGGAATTGGCTTAATGGCCTCTACCCTTGGTATGATGATAATAGAGATCACATATTCTCTCATGGCCATGGCAATGAATATGATGATAATGACTACGGAAGCGGTTTTTGGAAACCTGTTGGCTCGTACCAAGGTAAGGAACAGGAGGATGGCTATTTTGGGACTGGGGAAATGCAGCCTATTTATGATCACCATCCATGGTCTAGCTATGGGAATGGGTATGGATATGGAGGACAAGAAAATGGTTATGCCTATGCTGAACAAGAATCTCTATCTTCATATGGCTACTTTTTGGATGGGACTGGGATTTGTGCTGATCTTTTCGGTAATTTCCCGTGCTTGTCTCGCAAAGACCAAAAAAGATATTGTCAACAAGATGGAGAGGAACAAAGCTATGGTGATCAGTGGAAGGGAACTGCAGAGTATTTTTTTGGAACTTCGAATCCATATGGGGAAATAAGGGATCAAGGTATAACATATGGAGATCTTAGCCAAAAGTATTACTATGAATATCAGGAAGGACGTTACGACCAGTAGTGGCTTCTGAAGCTGCATCCTCTTGGAGCTTATGAGGAAGTGTATCATTGATCAAAGATGTAAGGACCTTGTCATTGGTAAGCTTTGGGTTGGGGACGCTTCTAATACCACAAATGCAAAGGGATGTGGTGCTTAGCCCTGGTGAGCTCAGCAAAAAAATTTTGCAAAGTGGTGTCATAATCTTAAAATACCTCTTGAATAACATCCTACCCACTGTATTATCTAACGGTTGACATCTTTAATATCATATTTGGTTATTTGTATAAAACAATGAAATGCAAAATATAATGTACGAATATGATCATCTAAGTTTTATCTGCTACATGTTATAATGGTGAATGGTGTTCAAATTGCTCCATAGTCATTGCCATTGTTTTTGTTAGAAAGCTTGCAAGTTGATGAAATCTTTGTTAAGAAAAAAAAAGAAATACTCTAATGGAAGCTGCATGGCCTGGAAAGTAGAGCATTGGGTGACTTTGGGGACAGGACCACAAAATTGGATTGATATGATTTTCTATAAAGTGCAATAACTGGTCTTTTTACTGAGCCTGTTTTCTGAAGTCATCACTTCCAAGAGTGTTGCCCACTAGTTAGTTATCTGTCTATCATGATTTGTTCTTCAATTTGATATTAGCACTTTCTTTTTTTGATAAATGAAGAATTTAAGATTCACACACTACAAGCATCTGTTGGAGAGATGTGAGATGTGATCTATCCCAATAAAGTAATTGATATTAGCACATTGATCATAGGTTAACCAAAGTATTTCCTCAAATCTGTAAAGTGAAAGTGATTGCATTAAACATTAGTGCTTTTCCAAGTTGATTGCATTCATTATCTCATTGGGCTAGAAGAAGAGTAATATGCTCCAGATACATTAACATGTCCTACTGTCTACTTGGATTATCAGACATGCTTTGATAGTTCCCATTAATCTCAATGAAGGTGCAAACCATTTGAAGATCGCAAAAAGATTCTGTCTTGAGTGAAGACTTCAAGGATTCTAAAGGTTTCTCCTGCAAACCCAAACTAAATAAGTCTATAACTGGACATTCATCAAAAAAAAAAAAGGTCTATAACTGGAGCATAAGGTCCACTAACAGAAGTTTTTTATAATAGTTAGAAGTAGTCCATTTCAGGTTGAAAGGAAGATGCCCAGAATGTTTTCTTTTGGCATGAGGATGTTACATGGCAGTTGGCTGATTGGGGTTAACTTACACGGTTTCTTGGGGTCTAAAAGGTATTTTTGCCATTTTATTTATTGATTTCTGGTTCTGACTTTATAATTCATTAATTTAGTTGTTTTCAAGTTCCAAAATTGATGGTTGGTAGGCTTCAAATTATAGTGTTTTCCCTCTGTTGGCTGCAATGGCATTATCTTAATATGGTGAACAGTGTTCTTAATGATACTATTTTTCTTTTAAATCTATAATTTGCCATCTTCTCATCTTTTTGAAACTGAAGTGAAATCTTGAGTCTTTTGCTGCCTCTAATGATTGTTGAGTGTTTCTCATCACCCTTAGAGTGATTCTAGTGTTTTTTTTCTCACCTTTCTGTAATATTTTTTACTAGTGATGCTTACTATAGCTTCGTGAAGTTGCAGTATCCAGTCCATTACAGGGCCAGCTTGGTCAAGAGTGTTATGTACTTATGTTCTATATCCCAAAAGAATCATCATCATCATCATCATCATCATCATCATCATCATCTAAAACTTATCCCAACTATATGGGGTTGGCTACATGAATCCTGTTTCACCATTCCGATCCGTTTAATGCCATTTTTTTTGAGTTATAACAGAAATTTTATTACTGAAAATCAGAAACTGATACAAAGAAGTGCAGAAAATGGTTAACTGAGATATTGAGATTACAGTTAACTCTACCTAATCATACCCTGATACAAATGCTCTGTCCATCCAACACTTTTGAGATCTCTTTGCCAATACAAGATCTCTCTGTCCATCCCTTGCCTTGCCAGCCCATCTGCTACTCCATTTGCTGATCTAGGTATTCAATTTATAGAAGCTCCCAACTCTTGAATTAACTGCTTCAATTCTCTTATGACCCTTTCGTATTAACCCTAAGCCAAGTTACCACCCGTGAATCACCTTCAGTAATAACATTCCTGAAACTTAACAATTTATCCCTCCCAATGCCTTGGAGGGCAGCAAAGACTTCTGCCATGGTAGAGTCTCCTATCCCTAAAGGTCCTGAATAAAGTGCCAAAATATTTCTTTCTTCATTTCTTAAAACACTACCAATCCTTGATTAGCTGGGATTCCTTATGCAGTTATGCTGCAGCCGTCTAAGTTTAGTTTTATGGGATTGGGATAAGGAGGGGTCCTAACAGCCTTGGTCAAAGCTTTACTGGCCGAAGAATCTGTCACTTGCTTCAAATTTCTCAAAATGTCATCCACTGTGAATAATGAGAATAGCTCTAAAGTCTTGACCCAATGTATCATTCTGAATGTTATGTTCTCTATTGTCTCCTTTGCTATCCTCTCCTTATTATTGAATAAACTTGCATTTCTTTCTTTCCATTGGCACCAAAGAATAGCAACTCTTGTGCATCTCCAAAGGGTTTTCCTCTCTTCTTGGGGGGTTAGGAGTCAAGAAACAATCTCTTCAGGTCCAAGAGAGATGAAAAAATTCCAAGTAATATATGCAAAGCTACAGGAGATTAGTAAGTTGAAAGAGTTCTAACCACTTGACTGTAGAGAAGGCAAATGTGGGGTGATAGACACTAGAAAGGTTTTCTCTTTTGCAGCTTCTCAAATGAATTAATTTTGTTATGAAATGCCTCCCAATAGCTAATCTTAAGTGGAACCGGTCCTCTCCAAATGGCCTTCATGAAGAAAGAGGGAAGGGGTGGTTGAGGGTCTCTTCCTAAGGTAGAAAAGAAGGAAGCACAAGAGAAAGAGCCAAAGGTAGGGGTGCTCATCAATAACTTAAAAACCAAGCCGAACCAATGGAACCAAACCAAAAAATTTGGTTAATTGAACCAATCAATTTAGTTTTGGTTAACCTATATGAAAAAATGACGGTTAACTGAACCAAACAATATGTATATAATGTATATTTATAATTAGCTATTTATAGTATATAATATATTTATAATATATTATATATTCCTTTCAAAAAATAATATTATATATTATATATTATGTATAATATAATATATTATATATGTTTATAGTATTTATATTATATATTTATTTATAATATATATTATAAATATAAAAAATCGAAAAACTAAGGAATTGAACTGGTCAACCAATTGATATGGTTTAGTGTTGGTTTAGGACCAATGTTTAGAGAACCGGACCAGGCATAAAAACATGATGACGTGGCATATACATATATATACTAGAGGTCCTATAAGTATTATATATAATATATTTTACAACTTTTAATATACTTAAATATGGTATTTTGATGGCAAGTTCCTTAATTTTTAATGCAAATGATTAGGGTTCAAGTCTCTTTAATTTACATTTTCTTTAAAATACATGCATAATAAAGTAATGTGTATAATAAAATCATTAATTAACACAATTTAAGAGGTGGACTAATGGTAATTAAGCAATATATGAAAATAAGAGGTCATGGGTTTGAATCTTGCTAAGCACATTTTAAAATTTCTATTAGTTAAGGACTCGGGTGGTTTCATGAAACCGGGACTGGTTCACCGGTTTTCTGGTTAAACTGGTCGGTTAGTTGGTTTTCATCAATTTTTTAACGAAAACGAATGCGGGCTATTGGGGTATGACCGAATCGGCCAAGGTCCTGGGTAACGGTTCAGCCGGGCCAATCGGCTGGTCCAATCTGGTTTTCTAAACACTATTTGGGACAATGCAGAAATTGAAGGGACCAGTTCGATTTCAAAAAAATGCCCGTGGTTCGGTTAACCAAATTGTGAGCACCCAAGGGTCTAGCTTTTGGAGTCGGAAGAGTTGGGGTTAATACAATATATGAGGTTTCATAATCCCTAATCCCTCGATGTATCCCAAGATCCCAATTTAGACCAAGGTTAGATACCGACGCCAAATAGTCTTTATTAGAGGCAAGAGAAAAGGTATCAGCCTTGAGTGGTATATCCGCCCACCACAAATCCTTCCAAAATTTTGTTTTGGTCCCAAAAGTAATATCATACTTGATAAATAGATGATATAGATTTCCATGGGGTTGAGAGAGAAGCTTTCAAGCTAAAACCTGCATCCCAACCATTAAGCTTAAGTCTGGGTGCTTTTAATTACCTCATGACACAAATTTTCCAAGTCAGAGGGAATTACCATGGTTTGAAATGTCCATAAATTTCTTAATATTTTCATGAAATATTTTCATTTATATGGGTAGTGACATGAAAAAATTACTAGAATTGACACATTCCCTAGTGAACACTACCGGTACTATAGTGGAGTTCAAGAGATACTATTATAACATAATTCGTTGACAATATTGTAGATATGTGGAACAACAATATTATTACCTTCCTAATGTACATGTTTACCACATAGAGTCAGCTTAATATTCATTTCAAGCATAAAAGTTAAATTTTAGTTTTCTGTTTGTATAGTAGACTACTTGGTTGATCTACTAGAATCATTTGCAATTTCTATGAGTTTAAATTTTGCTTGAACTCATTTTATCATGTAATTTTGAGTCTTAAAGTTTATAGGACAATTTCACAATGTATTCTTTTGTTTATAACTTTAGTTTCTTATCTTTGTTTAATGATTTGGAGCAAGATAATAATTTAAAAGGGTCTACCTATGCTTCTTTTATCATTTCATAAGATATTATTCTATATTTTTTTTTTTGCATATTTTACAATTTTCCACCATGTCTAACTTCTACAATATTTCTATACCATATTTTTGACATGTTTCCTATATTTGGATGATTAACATTATTGCTGACACCAACATTTTAAACCTTGGAAACCACCATATCCATTTGCCCAACAAGGAAGTGTTTTTTCAATGTTCAGAGAACTGTACCGGGCATAGAACCAAAGAGGGGAGAGGTTCAAATGAGGTTGAACCGTGATGATGTGGCATACACACACATATATTAGAGATCATATATTGATGGAAAGTTCCTTAATTTTTAAAGCAAATGATTAGGGTTCAAGCCTCTTAATTTACATTTTCTTTAAAATACATGCATAATAAAGTAATTTGTACAATAAAGTCATTAATTAACACAAGTTAAGAGGTGGGCTAATGGTGATTAAGTAATATATGAAAATAAGAGGTCATGGGTTCGAATCTTGCTAAGCATATTTTAAAATTTTTACTAGTTAAGGACCTGGGCAGTTTC